GTTACGATTTGTTAAATGTATCGTGTAATTCAAGTTTGTTTACACGCGCGGCCAGCGCAAAATTAATGCACACCTCTCGCTGCGATCATGATGATGATGGGTGTTCAATATTTGAAAAACATTTCGTATTTTAGCAAGTCAAATATAATTAAAATCATTAAATAGAAATGAATCACGTTGATCTTGTAATTCGATGATCGATTGCTGTACGGCGCGTAATCAGCTTAATTAATAACGAGTAGTTAATAAATAACGCCAGCGTTCCGAATAAACGCGTTTCTATTCTCGTAACAACGAAACATCGTGTATTCGACGATATTCGGAAATCACGAGTCCGCGGGAAACGAAATTAATACTCGATTCCTTTGTCGACGCTGTTCCTAAATAACAATTTATCGAAAATAATACCGAGATGACCCGCGAATGTTTTCGACGTTTCAACGCCCACGGCTCGCAGCACGATCCTGGCGCGGAGAGAATTTCCCTCGTTTCAGCTCGCGGGCCAAAGGGAAATATTTTCATCTCCGTTTTCAACTCTCACTTAAATACACATTAATATCCTTAAAACGGTGACGTAACGTCTGGGGAGCTAAATCCGCGGATGTTTCACCCTACTCGCTCCTCGGTTATTGCAAATGGTACATTAGGATAAAATCCGAGAGAAATTACCGGCCGCTTTTAAGTTTTTAATTAGAAAAATGTATCGCCTGGCCAATTTCTCTGGCCGTGGTTACGTGTGCTTGATTCTTTGATTCGCGGTGTTCATCGTCGAGAATACACATTCGCTGTCTGGCGAGACTTTGAATATGTATATTCTTTGCACGAACTTTCGTCATCTGCCGCGAGATTCGTCGCTTTATTATGAAATTTTTGCCGCGAGACAGATCTTTAATTGAGTTTAATTGGATCGAAGTAGAAACAAAGACAGTTGCGTGAAACTACGACTAGGAAGCATTCTGCATATTTTGCACGTTTTAATTAAATTGTTATTTTGCAAAAAAAAAAAGAGATCTAAGAGACCAAAAAAAGCAAGTGACTGTGTCTCTTGCATTTATGTAAAAGAAGAGTAAAATACAGCAAAGCGATTAGAATAGTTTCCCTAGATTGCGTCTCTTTATGTTTTTCAATGAAAAAGATAGAGAAACAGCATCACTTTTGTCAGAATCTACGTGACTTTAACTAATATATAAATACATGAGCCTACGATATACTTCAAAACCCTGTTTTTCTTGAAATATTTGAAATTTACACGGTATGATAAACAGTAAAATGTATCATCGTTACGTTTATTTCGTAATTACGCGAATGTTTCGTAAACGCTTCCTTCAATTGCTGGATAATAAATAAAATTCGCACGCTGTCGCAACAAATCGACCAAATCGTCCCCTCGATACTTACAAACGACGGCTGACAAACAAATAGCGACAAACAAACTCACCGCGCGCCACTGTCACGACGAAATTTCCAGCATTTCAGCGTCCCTTCGCCCACTTGACGGCGAAAAATTTACGCATCGATGAAATTTACATCTGCGTCTTTCAATTTTCACGCTTTTAGCGCGGCGCGCTACGTGCCAGCGCGCCGCTGTCCCGGAAAGAAGCGCGAGTCTTTAAATTTTATACTTTCGTCGAAAAGAGCATAAAACCGACGTAGACTTTTCACGTCACGGAACGTAGACCTAAGGGCGCCTCAGTATCGCGTGCATCCCCCTCGTGTTGCAACACATAGTGCCCATAAACATGGCTCGCGAACGTCCACCACGAATCAAAGTGTACGTGTTTCCCCACGTGTTTGTTCCGTTGCAGGAAGCGAAGAGTTTTGAGACGCGAACGAGAGAAGAGGGAGAGAGAGGAAAGGGGAGAGGGGAGCGAACACAAAGTTTCGGATTTTCAACTCGATTTACTCCTTCGCCTGGCGTGGGTACTTGCTTTTATGCGAGGCCCTGTTAAAGCACGACGCTCCGTTTGCTTAGGTTTACACTGTTACATTGAATTTTGAGCGCTCATATTAGCCGCCCGTACTCGCTATTTGACTTCCGTACACGTGTTTACACGCCGCTGCGGGATTCTAAATCGAATCAACCGTCGCATCCATCCGTTTAATCTTCTGCTTTTTACACGGGCGGTGGTTCGTATCAATATTCGGACACGCCGCGGTGTTTGTTTGTAATGGTTGTTTACATCAATTGTTGTTTTTTTCCGGCGTGGTTATTGGAAAACCGCGGATTTTTGCGCATTTGTAGAAAATTTAATTCTCTACCTTCTACACACGTACTGCGAGTGTTATTAATATTCGGACACCATGTTTGTTTCTGTTTCGTTTTTTTTTTTTTTTTTTTTTTTTTTTTTTTTTTTTTGTGGAATTGTGTCATTGGATAAGTTGCTTTTTGATGTATTGAAAGAGTCATTGGTATATCGTGGATTTTTACGCGTTTATGGAAAATTTAGAGTTACAAAAATACATAGAACGCTGAAATGAAGAAAACATAAAATGTTCAAGATCACTTGATAGTTGCAATATTTAATAGACAACTCGAGTTTTTCTTTAAGCCCCTTGTTTTATTAATGTAATAAATATTAAATTAATAATTTATTCATTATTTATTTGTTTAATAGTAAAAATTTTGCACAATAAGACACGACGAATAAATAATGACAAATTTAAAATCACATCAAAAGTATCGTCAAATTTCCTCTCCTGCTAATTATAGTAAATATAAAACATAGCCGTCGATAAGTGTTTTCAGTCAATTAAAATTTATCTCAAGTCAATTAAAATTTTCGCGAAATTTTCGGTCTCGTCGTCTACTAAAGTTCCCCGCTCTCTCTCAAGTAGCAGCTCGCAAATTTCTTAAAAATTATCAAGCCTGTCAACGAGCCACTCTGGCCTCGGGTGGGAGGTAACGTCACCTCGTAAAAACCGTGGAAATGATACGAGGGCGCATAAAGTACCGCAGTGGTCGAGCGAGCCGGCATATTGGAAACCATCCAATAACCCACTTGGCTTGCTATATCATTGCCACACGAGAGAGGTAACAAACGTAAAAAGGTGGGGCGAGCAGAGGATCAGAGGGACGGCAGGGGAAGAAGTATGGAATAGAAGCAAACAGAGAGATACGCAAAATAAAAGAAGAAAGAAAAAAGAACGAAGAGAGATAAAGAGAGAGAGAGAGAGAGAGAGAGAGAATTAGAAAGAGAAAAAAGTGGAATAAACAAAGAACGAGGCGAGAGAAAAAAAGATATTTGCTCGGGGGTGCAAAACGAGGAATATTCAAGGGAGGTGGAGGATAGGCTGCGAGAAAAAAGAAGGATATACCGAGGAAAGGAATAAGTCGTCGCGTGTGCGTTCAGTGAAATTCATTGGTCGCGAATTTCGCTCGTGATTTATTAAAGAATTTTATCGCTCGTTCGCCGATCAATTCGAAAGCGCCGGCGAAACGTCCGGAACGTACCACCGTCGGGACGAATCGAGCGCGCTTTTCGTCAACGATTTCGATATTCGAACGGTCGCGGCGGTGTAATTATGTTACACGTTATTGAAATTTCGTTACGCGTTCGCTCGTGCGTTCGGAAAAGGGACAGGCAGCAAATAGAAAAAGAGAGAGAGAGAGAGAGGGGGGGTTTTAAAATTGATGTAATCGAATAAAACGCGCGAGAAACGTCCACGTGACTCAAATCTCGATGTCCTCGGTGCCATCTGCTCGCGACAACTGACGCTGCATTGTATTAAAAAATATCGCAGCTTGCTCTCGTGTATGTGTTCCTGCCCAGATATGCGTTGATCGAAAATGAAACACACGCTTGTGAAAACACGTCGACAAACGACCGGATATCTCGGTTAAATGTCTTTAACAACGCTTCAATTTCGATTATTTGTTGGCTGGACTGTTTGTAGAATTTTCTAAGCGCGACATCTTCAACTCTGTCATCTTTAGTGCCGACAGTTTCCAACGATCTATCGATCTATTTGACCGGCACTTGCCGATAAATCCTCGCGAACCAAACTGGTATACATGTGTATATATATATATATGTACGTACATACATGCAGCTTAATATCGTCGCGATATTTCACCGGGCGAAAACCGGCTGAGAATTCCGAGCCAGACTATGACGTATCGATTCGCGTCTGCATTTTAATTTCACCGGCAGGATCTTGGCAGGGAAAGAAAGGGAATCTAGTGGCTCTTTCACCGCCGACCAACCGGAATTCGCCGCTTTTTCCCCCCTCCCTTTAACCGCCAGCAAAGATTCAGAAATAAGCGCGAAGTGCTTTCATTAAAGGTAGCGCGTGAATTTCTCGTTGGATGCGTCCGGTTCGAAGCCGTACATCGTATCTTTCTCCGTGATATACGTTCTATTTCCCCTCTGTAGTATTTCTCTTTCTTCTTTTTTTTATTTTTTTTATTTTCGTACATTTAAATATGTGAAAACTGCGAGAAGAAATTGCGAGGAAAATGAACCGCAAATTGTTGAAAGCAGATCGAGTTGAAATATTCGCGGTAACCGGCGAACGGATAATTGAATTGTGCCAACGAGTTGCCAACGGTAACGAAAATTGTTCACTTTTAAGCTAAATGGAGCCGGAGAGATTTCTTTTTTTTTTTTAATATATTTCTCTCCTGGGATGTAATAATATTTCGTCGAGCGATAATGTAATCTCTCGTGGAAACAGCGAGTCCTCGCGATTATTATTTCATTTCGCTTTGACATCGAGATCCGTGCAATTCTGACAATTTTCGCCCGACAATGAGTCCAACTTTTTCTTTTTTCCATTTTTTTTTTTTTTTTTTTTTTTTTTTTTTTTTTGTAGAAATGTTGAATCAAGACTCTTCCGCTTCATTTTTTCTCTCTCTTTTTTTTTTATTTCATAGCGATTCTCACATTGAAACCGTTCCCGTTTTAATGAATTACCCTCGCGCTATTAACGGTCGCGGCTGTTCATTCGCGACGCCCGTCCCCCGCTGAAAAAAAATTCCAACAAACTCGTTGCTCACTTACCCTCGAGGGTTCCGCTGTAGGCGTGCAATGGATCGAAAGCAATTTGCCGGCCGTTCGATCCCTCGAAGACCACGTTCTCATCGAACAAGCTCGTATCCCTCGTCAGTCTCATCTTAAACACCCTGAGACAGAAATCATACCAGATTACACGTTAGTGAGACATAAACGTTCATTATCTTCCATCTGATACTAATTTCTAGTATTTGGTATCAATTTGAAGCTAATTTCAGATTTAAACGTCGATTTAACCATTCGTAATGGTCAATGTATTAGCAAATTAGCAAATTCCTTCCCTGAATGTGAAATATATATATAATCCTCGCCGAATTTCAATAAATTTGATGTCCTGAAATCCATTTTTGCATCGTTAATAGGTCGAGAGAGAACCTGACAAGTTAATTCAAAAATTCAATTCATAATCCCTTTTACAGAGAAATGGATCTTGATCCTCACTAGAGGATTAAAAGTTAATTTCTTTTGGATCTGATATTAATAACTTTTAATAATAATTTCTAACAAAATCATAAATTTCCCCGAAAGTTTACGAACGACGGACTGCTCGATATCAACACGTTCGATACGTTCCGCGTTGACTTTCTGCTTCATTAAAAGATTTACGTACGACGATGTGTTTCTATGATCATCGACGAGTAAAAAATAACGTTTAATAATCGAATAAACCACGCGTAGTTCGGAATGGGTGCCACAGCCGGCAGTAAATGCTTCAATTCGAAATAAACGGCGTAAAAGTAATTCAAACGAATAGATATTCGACCGTATTTCTCTTGTTCGGTAACAAACGTTCGCCGACGTATGATGTTTTCGCGAAATCGCGGAACACCGGTATTGTAAATGTAATTCGGCTCAATTTATTAGATTCGAAACGCGATGAATTACAAACGCGTAGCGCGTTTCTGCAGTATCGGTTTTGCAAAGAGGACCAGCGCCAAAACATATATAACACAGAAATAATAGATTTAATAATAGTCTTCGTATCGGCTGGCGTCGAGTTGACTTTGCGCGCAGCTCTCTCGATCGACCGGAGCTTTTCACCGGTTTACATCGATTTTCAATGGTTTTCCAATCATTCTAATTAATCCCACGCTTTTCGTTTTTACTTCCACGAAAATGAATCGCGTGGAAGAAAAAATAATAAAACAACGAGATCTCTCAGCGAGAGTCAGTCTCTTTTTTCCCCCCTGGCAGATCGTCGAAGAATTTCCAGTCGAATTTCATTTCCGATCGTTATTTATTTAATTTCGTCTATTGTTTTACATTTGAAATCACGAAGGTAAAAATCGATGTTGTGGGGAATTTTCGACGGGAGGGTTAATTTTTTAAAAGACGAAAACTCTGTTTACCGAAATTTGTGATTAATAATTTAAAAAAAAACGGCGCGGTTGTAACGGTAACACCATTGTTTCTCTCGCTACTTTTATCAGAATATTTTATTCATAGCGAGAAAAGATAAAATTAGACAACCAAAATATCAAAAGTGCAAGAGACTGAGACTTGTACGTAGTATAGCAAAGTTTTCGTTTATATAAAGAAAGTAATTTCGTTTATATAAAGATAAAAGACTATAAAATTTTAGAATGTATCTCTATTTTACGCTCTACAGATAATAATAAATATAAAGTTAAAAATTCACAAAATCTCCAGGAGAAGTGACGGACAACTCGAGGTTGGCAGGCAGCGATAAAATTAAAATAACTAATAGCTATCTAACCGTTTTAATCGTTTTGAAATTACTTTCGTAACGACGCCTCGTATCAACCTCGTATTATCGCGGCTCAGTCGAGCGCCTCGAAGCGCCAGTAAACTGAGAAACACTGCGACAAGAGGGAACTAAACTTCACGGGACAGGTGTGTCACATAATAATCGCAGCGATGTAACGCAACGAGGGCCACATATTACGTTGTAACCAGTCCCTTACGTGTTTCGAGCTAATCGTGCGCGAGGTTTACATGCAACCGTGCTCACGGTACAATCGATAATCCGATCCGAGGGAGGGGTCGATGTTTTCACCTAATTATTGTCTAAGCCCGCGGATAGCCTATCGATCGAGGTCGACTCTCCTTTCATGGTTAACGTTCCGCTGATTTCAATCATTCATCATGGAGAAAGCTGGCCCGCGTTTGTGCACGCGGATGTCACCGTGATAATGTAACTAATGAGACATTGAAAGCAACGCGTGCAGGATTAATTCCCGCTGATGAAGTGGTTATCGACTGTCGAACGCTTTTCCCCTGTGTGCACGGCTTTATCTCGCGATCGGCAGCGAAAGATTGATGAAACCTGGTAATTTCGCGCAGCAGTCGTCCCGATGCTTTTCATTGCGGCGCGACAGGCGCCTCGTTTCACTCGCCGAAGAAAATTAGGGTAAGACAGTAGGCTGTTTTTTCATTCGGCAAAAATATTTTGACTCAAGTTGCTCTTGTGCGCGAATAATTTCTCAGGGATCTTGAAAACGTTAGTGACTATAGCAGGTTTAATCGACTGTTACGCGTTGTAATTTTCAGGTTCTACTTTTTCTCCTAGGTTTTTCAAATTTTTTTTTTTTCTAGGACGTACAAACGTGGAAACAACAGAAATAATTACGTAGAGAAGAGAAAGTCGGGAAGAGCGAGTGACACAGGAGCTGGTGTAATAAAACACCGTTCATCTCGCGTTTTATACTTTTAAAAGAAAACTTAATGTAAGCATCTAGTGTCTTGGAATACAACACAAAAATTAGAATTTAAGCAAAGATTCGTTAGTTGTAACAAGCGCTTTACTTTGGATATTTTTTTACATGCACTTCTGTATATTATACGCATTTCGTGCACATGAGTTTCCTCCGATGTTAATATTTCCAGCGATAATTATCATAATAAAACTACAGCTCGGAAACTCGTATCAAGTGTGCATCTCTGTACGTTGGATGTCATTGTTGTATTTCAACAAGATACATTCGCTCGGCGCAGTACGTGGATTAACAGCTCGACGACCATAACTTTCCACGCAAATGTAACTTTTGCTCGTCAGTAGAAAGGAAAGTTTTTCCAATGCTAATATTTTCAATTACATAATAATCATCGTAATAAAAATGCAGACAAAAAACTTACGGGTCTCGTCTCTGATATCCTTTAAATTGTTTGGGGAATCCACGATGAAGGTGGTCGAGTGTTTGTTACATGTTAAATGCTGTAAGTCGTACTTACGGAACTATTTTCTAAACTTAACTTTTTAGGTATTAACTTGTGTGGTTATTGACAGGGTCAGACCCATACAGTAATTTTGGCAATTATATACTGTGTCCCTCACATTGTATTTAATTAAACTCCTGGCCATTATCAACAAGGACAGAGAAACGCATCCCCTACAAATTTCAACGAAATATATTGTTTTTGTTATTATAGTTTTCTACCAGCCAAAACAATCAAAAACAGAAAAGTTTTGTTCAATGGGTTAATACTCTCGTAACTCACACGTGTTTAGCATTTCCCCGTTATTATATTAAAGATTAATGGCGTCTGACACCATACAACAGGTCATTCCGTGGAAAGTTGGAGATTGAATTTTAAAACGTTGAACTCGAGTAACCCTGCTTCACTTATGTCGACGAAAAATAAGAAAAATGTCATTTCCGAGGTAACGAACGGCGCGACTTTTAACCGGCGACGCAATTTCTCCGGTACGAACCGAAAACCATCGAGGTTCCCGCCCGAGTTTAGAGAAGTTGCTCTATTCTGAAAAGTTTCTCTGCTCGACCTGGATCGCATGTAAGAAGATAAACTTCGATCTGACTTCTCCACGGGAAAACAATGTTAGCCGTAAAGTCGAAAGGTAACATCGGGAATCAAGCGGGAGAACTAGCAGAGTCGGAAATATTATTAGATTGTTGCATGCGAAATTTCACCGAATTCACAAGCGTATAGAATAATCCAGAGCCCAGAGATTGAAGATCCCTGCTGAATAATATTCGTTAGACGTCGATTTGAAGCTTGAAATTCGAGAGTTGCTGAGTCTTTAACAAATTAACACGATCGGCGTTTTGTCGACTGTTTTGTTACCCAAAATGTTGGATAATCGATCAGAACGAACCGTGAGTGATCATCAAATTTCAAGCGGGTTACTTCGGAAAACTTGAAACTTCGAGCCAACAAAGTAAAAGTTGCTCGTAACGTTAATACAAGTTCTCGAGGAACTGTATTAAGAGAACAGACGATCTGTTAGCTATTGAAAGAGTTCAATTTAGGAAGGATAAATAACGAACATAATTAATGAAGTACGAAATTATTGATCACAACGGAATGGAGAACATAATTATAACAATGTTTCGCTATGGTCAAGATGAAAGAATAAGTTAGAATTTCGCCATTTTATCTGCAACAACCGTAAATGCGATACCATTCGAACGAAAGAGAGAGAGAGAGATGATCTTTAATCAATTTATGGATTGAGTTGATTGTCAATATTTTGTACGCGAAATAACGAGATTCCAAGCGCGCCCGGCTATCATACTTTTAGCAACTAATACCGCGATGTCAAAGGGCGAGCTAATGCAACCAAATTGGTAATGTTATCGTGTATTACCGGCGAACGTTAATTAAATTACAACGACATTAATTACCATATCGCTGTAGGAATAGTCATTTCGCACGATGTATGTAACGCACGATTTAGACGAACGATTGCCGCGGAGGGTGGAAAAAAATTTCAACGTTACTCTCAATGCTCTCTAACTAGAATTTCCCACAGGATGAAAGGGGAGTTTATCACAGGATGAAAAAAATTACTAGTTAATTGGACTGCCTAGAGGCTGTCAATGCAAGTCGTTTCCTACTGAATTCCTCTATTCATTCTTTTCTCTTCTGTCGAAATGAAACAGATTAGTCATAATGTTGTAATAATTGCATTATAACGATCATATTATGCAGGAGGACCATTTACCATGGTACAAGTTGCTTTTAATGAGATGTGATTTACACTGATTAAAACTATTTGCTCTGATTTAAAATTAGTAATAATCGGAACTAATAATCGGGAACAACAATAATGTAAATGAAATGCAATAGACAAGCAACAAGAGCAAACGTAATGAAATTTTCAAAATCTACATACATGTATCTGTGTGTA